AGACGCTCTTCCGATCTTCGAGGCCAGTTATGCAGGAGGAGCCCCGCGCGCGGGGGAGGGGGAGGGGAAGAGGGGAGGGGAAGAGGGGAGGGGGGAAAAGGGAGGGGAGGGGAAAAGGGAGAGGGGAGGGGAAAAGGGGAGGGGAGGGCGGAAAGGGGAGGGGAGGGGAAAAGGGAGGGGAGGAGGAGCCCCGCGCGCGGGGGAGGGGGAGGAGCCCCGCCCCGCCCCTCCTAGGCACCCACGTGGGGACGCGCGGCCGGGGGCTAGAGGAACAAAGCGGCCCCCGGGCCGGGAGGGACGAAGGCGGCAGGCTCGGGGGGGGTCCCCACGGACCAAGGGACGTGTCCGGTGTCGGTGTCACATGAAGTCGCGTCTGCAGGCACACAGCAGGGGCGCCGTGCGCGGGTAGCAGTGTGGACGTGATAATTACACGGGGGCGGGGGGTGGAGAAGACCACCCAGACGGGGGACAAGCCCGCACTGAGCCCGAGGAGGTCCGCGGGGGGCTCCGGGATGGGAGGATCGCAGACGGCACCCCTTTGCAAAGGAAGAGATCCCAGACTTGTTGACAAGCACGTGGGAGAGTGCCCCGATCACTAACCATCTCCCCAGTGCCAGGCCGGGCCTACTCTGCCCGCCCGGGCACAGCGCTAATCCTGCTCGGTCTACACCGCTCCCAGACGATCGTGCAGGAGATTGGCCTCAGCCTGCCCCGCCGCTCCCGGCCGGCGTGTCTGGACGGCTACACCCTGCCCACGTGACCTCAGCATCCTCCTCACCTGCCAGTATGCCCCTGCCCAGCGAACGGAAGGTCTTAAATGCCATTTTCAAATTTAAGACAAGCAAGGAAGGCGGCCAACTCTAGGTACTCGGCGTTCGAAGCATTCTCGTAGTGTACACACAAACACACGAAAATCCCCATCCTGGGAAACAACCATTTGTTTAACCAGACTGACCTTTTTATTGATTTCCTGTGAACTTAAATACAATCACGTTCATTGGAAAGGAAAATAATTTAGTGCTAGAGTGTCTGGGTCCTTTCCTCAAAGACTCAAGAAACTGGCAGAGGTTCCCTCCCTCCCTCCCCCACCTTTGCAGCATCCCCTAGGTACCATAGGGCTCGAGAGCTGAGTCACAGGGTCAATCCTGGTTCTCCCAGGGTGCCACCTCTCTCCTGGGGGCCATCAGACACACAGATAATGAGCCAGAAGACCCCGCTGGCTCTCTTATTTAGCATAACCAGCCCCGTTCCCAAATCAGTAATGGGCAGACCAAGAGCATTACCTATCCCAAGAAAGCACCACGGGTCTGATGGACAGTAGAAATACACAGAAGAGGAGTCAGAAAACCAGGGGTCCAGTCCGGCTCAGACACTCACTAGCTACGTGATCTGGAGCAAATTACATAGGCCTCAGTTTCATCATCTGTAAAAGAGGCTGGGGCCTAATCTGAAGGGCCTTGCCAACTCTAAAGGTGTGTTCCCATGACGCTAAATCTCCTTCTCTCATGGTGCCCGAGTCAGTTCTCTCATTGTAAAGTGAGAATAATAATTCTCTATTGTACTTTCTGGGGATGTGAGAAGGATCAAATGGGAAGACGTGTGAAAGCATGTTTTAAACCATAAAACCAATTCTCCTGCCATATTGGAATGTTATTACTTCCCAAATACCAATATTCAGGGAAGTTGATGTCACTAAGTCATCTCTATAACTCTTAAAATTACCTTTTCTTTTAGGCTGAAAATTAAAAAAAATATTTTTTTAAAGAACCATCTAATAAAAAATACAATTTCTTGAAAAATGTCAGGACATCATCCAAATGATAACATTTGAGATGGAGTCCGAACCGTGTAAAAATGTTCCAAATCTAATCGAGGATATACTCAAAAAATATCCTTTCACAGACCGGGCCATCTTGATGATGGCATGCATTTGACATTTTAAGCAGCATCAAAGAAAGCAATCAGGGCATTGTGGTCATAACTGTCCAGAATCTCCAGCAGAAGAGGAACTTTCGTCTTCACATTGGTGCCTTTAAACTTGAACTTATCAATGAAGAGGTCAGTGATCATGCCTGAAAAAGAAATGCTTGTTTTCAGCCATCAGCTTTCACGACCCACAAGGACACATTTTCCTAGAGGCAAATGTAACCTTTGAACACAGAAAGCCACTTAAAGGGGCCTTTTTTAGGGTCTTTCTCCCCTCCCTTTTTTTTTGTCCAGACTTGTGATTTCATCATTGAAATCACAAAAGGGCCTGTCACTGTTCTTAAAAATATTAAGTATAAGAAACCCAGCTTCTAGGACAGTGGTCTCTAAAAATTTCATATTCAATCACAAAGAGGATTGACAGGGAGGCCACTGGAATTTCCCAAGCACAGAGAGTGATGTGGTCGGAGCTGCATTTTAGGAAGCTCACTGGTGGATGAATGGAGGAGACTTGAGGCAAGCAGACCCACAAGGAGGCCCCTGAAATAGTCCAGAGGTGAGCTAAGGAGGGCCTGCCCCAGGGGGATGGCAGCATCAGAGGAGAGGAGGGGACAAAAGGTCGAATGGCCACGCCAATGGATTGAACACAGGGACATGAGGGAGTGAGGAACGGAGGAGGACATGGAGATTGTGAGCCTGGGCGACCTGGAGGGTGCGGGTGCCCCCCAGAATAAGAGAAGGAAGGAGTAGGAGCAGCAGGAAGAAGGGAGGCTGGGGAACATAAAAGCTCAGTTTGGTGGTGTCGAGTTTAAGATGCATCCTGGACATCCGCTTCAAGACGTCTGACAGGCAGCAGGAGGTGAGATCCAGGAGATGAGCAGAGGGGGTGGGGCTGGATGAGTGGATCTGAGAATCATCAGCATAGAAAAGCTAACTGATTCCATGGAGCTGATGAAATGACCAGGTGAAATGGAACAGAGGGAGAAGGGAGAGGGCTCAGGACGGAGGCCTGTGGGGCGCCCATGGTTATTAGAGCACACAAGCTGGGGAGATGGAGACAAGAAGGAGGAAAACCAGGAGAGAAGACAGGGACAGCCCGTCCAAGGGGGACTGAAGAAAGGCCATCAAACCTGCCAATGAGGACGCTTGCAGTGCCACCCTCGGCATCCTCACCCTGGCCTCCCCAGCTGCCCCGATGTCCTCCTCCCTGAGCCCTTCTCTGATCTCCCCAAGGCTGGTGCCATCCAATCATCTCGTACCTACACCGTGCACACAGTCTTCCCCAGGTGGAACATCGAGTCCTGGAGGGTAGGGACTGCTCTGCTTCTGTCTTGGCTTGCCCAGTGCCTGGCACATGGCAGGGCCTTCATAAATGCTTGTGTCTGTCTGGGCCTGGCCTGACCCTGGGCCCAGGATCTCCCAGCAGCTGCTCAGATGGGCCTGTTTTCCCCTGGGCCTCTCTGACAGCTGCAGCTGCCTCGTTCCCAACTCATCCCTGGCCCGGTCAGGCTGCTGTGACCCACTCCCACCCCTCAGCTTCCACGGACCCCTCGGCTCAGCCTGCATCTGCCCCCACCCCCACAGCTGCTCAGCCCACAAAGAGGAACCCATACAGAGGAGCCCCCCTGTTCGAGGGTATCAGTTTCAGGGTCTCATTCACCATTATAACGACTTCATTAAGGGACAGAGACAGGCAATTAAATGGTTGTTTTGTTTATACAACACTAATAACTAGTCTGGCTAATTTTTTAAAACCGGAATTGACTAGTTACTTTGCCACCATGTAGACAACCCCTGACCTTCACCAGATCTGTAACCATACCATCAAAATCCCTGCTTTCCAGCTTGATTTGGTCAGGTTTGTGGCTGCATCTAGACACCAGAAGGTTCCTCCGGCTGTCTTCAGCATCAAGGCAGCCTGTCCTCACAAGGGCCGGATGCAGCCACTGCTGCTGCCCATGAAGGAGGCACAAAGAAGCGCTCATTAAGTGCCCGCTAGGTTCCAGTCCCTGTCAGGAGCCCGCCAGCACCGCCCCACCCTCCTCAGATCTGCTCATCACCATGCAGTCACACGACCTGTTTTACCCAGGGCTAGGACTGTGATTTCACTGGCATAGGTAACTCCCAGGTGAGGAAACGCTCTCTCCCAATGCAGGCAGCACCTTCTCTGCAAGGCCTAGTCAGACAGGAGCCCCCAGCACTGAAGAGTTAAGTGACCTGCCCAGGGTCCCACAGCAGGCCTGGCACCCAGGTCTTCCTGGCCCCGAGGCTAGTTCTCAATCTCGTACGGCATGTAATTGTCTCTCTTTGCACAGAGATCACTTCAAACAAACACTCTTCCTTGGACAAATGTTTCTGAGCATGTCCTAAATCCTTTCCCAGAAGGCAAAGCGAAGTGGGAACAAATTACTCAAAAAGGCCACCTTGCCATGTGAGCCAACTATTGGAATACAGGTGAAATCCAAACACAGAAAACATTTAACCTAGGAATCCTGAATACATGGGAAGTGATCTTTAAAATTTCAAATTTAAAAGTGCCAGCCTTACACTGTATGGCATGGGGTCGGGTGCTAGGCTTGGCAGGGAAGACCAGGGACCACGTGCCTCCTCCAACCCTTACTCTGTGGGCACGGGCAAGACCCTCCCTTTCTCAGTGCCTGGGGACCTAACTGGGTAAGTCAGACTGGTACTGGGAGACAGCATTCATCATTTTAATTTAGCTGAAAGAGTAAAAACTCTTAAGAGTTCAAATATTTACTCATTAAGACACCTAAATTAAGGTGTTTACTGTTGCAGGATGTAGTCTGTATCACAAGAGAGTAACTACAATGCCTTGAAATCCCTAGTGTTTTCTTCAGCTCATCAAGGTTTACAAACAATGATGCCAGAGGAGGATGCCCAGACGTCTCTCTGCTGCCTGGTTTTTGTATCAGAGTGAGTAAACAGTCCAAGAACAGGAGACACAGTCCCTAACAGAGCAGCTCAAGTCGGGATAACCTGGGTTCTGGCTCTACCTGGGGCCCACCTTGGCTGTGTGACCCTGGACACATCACCTAACCTCTCAGTGGTTTTGGGCAGGGGTGTTTCCTCATCTCCTGAGAAATCAGAGGTGTGGACAAGAGACACACACAGACACACACACAGATACACACAGACACACACAGACACAGACACACAGACACAGACACACACACACACACAGAGCTGCCTTCCCTAAACACTGGCTGGATCAGTCATGCTGGGGGCCAGCTTCACCCATCCCGCTTGGCTTGCCAGGTGCTGTGAGCACGGCTGACTGACCATAGAGCCTTTCCAGGTGTGCGGGCTGTTTCTTGTACTCTTCCTGCAGATGGTCGGCCTCTTCTAGAATACAGCGATATTCCGGGATCAGAAAGTCAGCATTTCCTTCGTGCAGCTGTAATTCCTTATTGGAGTAAGTAAGACAAAGTCACTGGTTAGTCCGCAAATCCAAGGAGCTCGAAGGGAATTTTCAGGAATGGCCCCTTCGCCTCCCCCCGGTGAAGTTTTCTGTTATACAGCAACAGCAGCAGACAGATGAGCCTTGGGAAGGCCATCCTGACTAGAGAGTAGGGCAAATTTTTAAAACGTCTGGCATTTGTCCCCCACACTTGGCATTCTGACTACATCCTTTTGTCCAGCGTTTCCCAAGAACTGGCCTGTGGACTAGCTAACACCAGTCCATGGTAAATGGGTCTACCAAATAATTACTATGGATGGCCTTCCCTTTATCAAACCTACAAAGTTAACCAAAGACAAGCTCTCCTTCCCCTGCCAGCCTCTTCCCCTCACCTCAAACCCAAGCCATTCTTCTGCTTTCCTGGCTCCCCCTTTCCACCCCCCCTTAAATTAGCGAAGGCCACAATGTCACAGCATCACTGATCATCAGAGCTGGATGGGACCTTGAAAACCAGTGAGTTCACCCTCTTCATTTTAAAGCTGTGGAAACCCGGGGCCCAAAGGCCTGGCACGATCCACTCGGAAGAGCTGCAGGCCTGGAATCGGCTCATTCTCCAACCACATCCTGCCACCCAGGCTCAGGATCGGCGGGGCTGGCAAGCTTTCCCCTGGTCTCCCTCGAGGGATCGGGGCAGAGGCTAAAGCTGGGATGTCCCTGGAATGGGGAATCCCTTCTCTGGGTGAGGTCAGGGTCACACAACCAGGATGGGTCAGAGGCAGGAGCTGAAGCCAAACCTCTCTGGTTCCAAGGCCAGCTTGCTATTCACTGCACCACATTCCTCTCACCCATGACTCAACTCTTGACTTACAGCGTGGTAACATTTCAGAATAACAAAATCTGATCCATAAAACATTTCTAAGACCGACAAAAGGGTTTCTTTAGGCCCGCTAAAAAATGAGCCAGAGTTGTAATCTTCTCTTTTCTATTCCAGTGATAAGCCAACAGCTACAGGACAACATAACATCTCTTTTTTTATTTTAGAGGCAATTGGAGTTAAGTGACTTGCCCAGGGTCACACAGCTAGTAAGTGTCAAGTGTCTGAGGCTGGATTTGAACTCAGGTCCTCCTGACTTCAGGGCTAGTGCTCTATCCACTGCGCCACTTAGCTGCCCCAACATTTCATTTTTTTGCAAAATGTCCCAAATGAAAAAATGGACAATGTTATTCTTTGGGTAAAATCAGAACATTTCCATAATAAATATTACAGAAAATGGCTTCACAGGGTTAAGTGAATCCGAAAACTGGGCTTACTTTTAAAGCATCAATTAATTGCACCTTCTTGGCCAACAGCAGCTGGTATTCCAGTTTCGGGTGGATCAGCTTTAATGTGTGATTCACAGATACTTCATTGATCTCTAAGAAAGAGAAGATACAGATGCTAGTTGGTATGGTGGCTTTAATAATGCACTATTACACAATTTTTTTAATTGAAATTTTTTTTTTTACCATAGGCTATGTTGAGATTTATTTTTCTTTTCGTGGCTTCTTTAGAAAGTACATCTTTTAGGATGGATATCGTAGAAATGTTGTCTGATTTAAAGATTCCTTCTCCTTTCCTAAAAAATTAATATTTTTGAAAGAACATCAGGAGAATATGGCCCAGTCCACAAATCCTTTTTGTCTGAAGCCTAGAGTTCAAATCTGATTTGATTTTAGAATTTACTGACATGAATCATATAAAACTAACACTATACGGTGAATTCTTTGCAAAACCACAAACACGCAGCCCTGCTAGATTAGCTCGGATCCCCGTGCTGGTAAATCCTCAGGTCTTTGAGCTCCCATTGTAGGGGCCATGAGAGCGGGGCTGCATCCCTACCAGAAGCTGGTGGAGGCAAGGATAGCACTCATCTGGTGAAAGATGGAAGGTGGGGTGCAGAGGGGGAAGGGAGAGGTCTGGAGGCTGAGGACAGGAGGGGGGACGTTCAAAGGACCAAACCCAAGGGAAAACGCAAACCCAGCAGCAGCCAAGGTGTCTAGAGCAGGCCACGATGAACAAGACAGAGAAACGGAGAAGCCGGGCTTCAATCTCATAGCTACCTCCTGAGTTTGCCCCATCCCCCCATCTCTTCTCTGTCTCTGTCTCTCTCGCCCTCCTACATTCACACTGATATGATAAAAATAATGATAATGATGGCAGTAACAGCTAGCATTCATGTAGCACTTTAAACTTTGCATAGCACTTCACAGCTCTTGCCTCCTCTGATCCTCACAAGCGCCCTGGGGGGAAGGTGCCATGCTTAGCCCCATTTTACAGATGAGAAAACTGGCTCAGAAAGATAAAGTGACTTGGCCAGGGAGGTGAGTGAGTGAGGCAGGATCTGCACTGGGGCCGCTCCTCATTCAAAGGCAGGGCCAGAGTGTTAGGTAATCCCACCGCTATCTCTCCATGGCCCCTTCTCTCAAGGTCCACACGACCACGCACATAGCTGCCCTCTCCCCTCTGCCCGGAGAAAGCCCCTGGCTCACAGTCCTGCCTACCCACATGGCCTCAAGGTATCCTTATGCACTTCCCTCTCTGTCCCCCATCCCACTCCCTCACTGTCACTGAACGTGCTCTGAGGCTTCCCTACTCTCCTGGCCCATTAGCTCCCTTCTGCACTCGCTTGCCTCCCTGCCCAACCAAGGCCCCAGAGCAAGGCCCTTGAACCCTGCCCTCTCCACATCTCCCCCAGGGGCCACACCCTCTGGTGAGGTCCAGCCCTCCCCACTCTATGGGCACCGACAATCCAAGCCTGGGGGCAAATCCCACAGACCTCTGGCAAAGCCATAAAGGCAGGGTGACTGGCTCCGCTGCTGAGTAATGTGGTCTGGCCTGCTTTGGGCGCTCGGTGCCACTCACAAGCCTTCATCCATCTCGTTTCCCCCCAGCAGAAGGTTCTCCTCCTGCCCAATCCCCATCCTCTCTGCAGACAAGCCCACCTCTCCATCTCATGCTTTACTCTTAAGGAGCATCCTCTACCTCACTGCCAGTCAGCGGCCACTCTCAGGGCAGGCATGGCAGCATGGCCCCCGGAGGACAGACAGGAGGCAGCAGGTGCCACCATCACCCCTGTGACCACCCGCACGGCCCCTCAGACCCTGAACCCAAGGGAGCAGCCCCTGGGGAGATGCAGCCTGGTCACTGCCCCTGCAGGGGCTGCAGCCGCAGCTACTGGAGACCCAGAAAGGAAAGTTCTGGCAATCCAGTCCTTGGCAAGGTCAAAATGGTTCCACACTAGAACTTGCTATCACTTTTTCCAATCGAAATGACAACGAATGAAACCTTTTCATCGGCCCTGCAGCTGGAAGCTCACCTGTGCGTTGTCTCCCCCCATCAGGACGTGAGGCCCTTGAGAGCAGGGGCGGGCTCACTCTTCCATCTGTATCCCCAGCACCGAGCCCAGGAAATGCTTCATTCATTCATTCATTCATTCATTCACCTGAAATGCTGTCTTCTCTCACCCTCTGTTCCTTCCTGTCTCAGAAGGGGGGCAGGGGCCTTTTCATGACTAATCTCCCAATGGGCCCTCTGACCTCATGTTCTACTCAAGATCCTCCATCGACTGTCCCCCTTCCTTCCACCACCTTCAGCCTCTTCCAGGTCAGTGCTTCTTCTACCCTCTGCTTCTACAAATACAATCAAGTTCCCAGACCCCACCACCACCGCCACTTCCCCCAAGCCACCAGCTTTTCTCTTCCCTTCACCAGACAACTTCACTGTGTGGGGGGAGGGCCCCTTGCCAGTGACGCTGCAGGCAAGACTCTTGGTGAGGTCCCGGGCAGACTAGATGGCCCTGAGCTTACGTCCAATTCTCAGGTTTGGGGAGTGGATGGTATTTGCCCTCATCACTCTACTGAGAGTGGCCTTTCAAAGCTTACTAATGACAACCTCTGCAACAAACCTAATCCCCTTTTCCCAATCCTCATCCCCCCTTAACTTGTCTGCTGCCCTAGGAGCTGCTAAGGGCCCCTTCTAGCATCATACTCCTGCCTTGCTGTCAATGACTCTGAAGAGAGGCGTGGATGTGTGTGTGTGTGT